GCCTGAGGAGCCAACATGCACAGATTAGTACAGCTAGAATCAGATCTTGGCTTAGCACTCAATTTAGTATAACACATAAATGCTGTTCCTCCAGAATATGTGGTTCACTCTTAGGTTTTATGTGAAGCACAAAGATGAACAAGACTACCTCTCAAGATACACAATCTAGAAACAGATCTGTGTTCACCCCTCTACAAAGCAGGTTTGAACTACAACCAACGTATTAGGCAACAGAAGGGGAGGAGTGTTGTGGCTGAGTGCCCTTGTGCTTGCTCATCTCCATGTTCCCTCTGGGGACATCATTCCCCTCCATTGTTTGAGCTGAGGCTCAGAGGGGTTAAAGAAAGTGGCCGATGTGTGCTCAGCCCACACAACAAGGTGAAAAGCTAGGTTTATCTTTCTCAGAGCCCATACTTTCAATAATTAAACCATGATACATAATTTTATATTCCCTTTTCATAGACATGTTAAAAGAGAGCAGAGATAGTGATTTAGGCAGTTGAGGGCTAAGAAGGACAGAGGGTAAGTCACAGTAGTACTCAGAGGGTGAGATGTCTCTCACCGTGGCAACACTCAGGGATGTGTCATTTGCTTTGGGCAGAAGACGCTACAGGAAACATTTCTCCTGCAAATTTACAAAGTTAAATTTATAAACCAGCATTGGGTAATGTGAAGTCCAGCTCTCCTGCTAAAAACAGCTAGATGTAGCTATTGTGTTTAAGAACCAATTTATAGTCATAATGTACTATGTAAATTTTATAATAATGTCATAATGTTCTATATATATTTGTTAAGTGGAATATTTTAAATTAATATAATGAGGTGAAATTAATATAATGTGTGTGAATTTTCTTAGTGTCTAGAAAAACCCAAGTATATAGCTCCATTGTACAATGGCCTTTTCATGTGGATTTTCCCCATGGCTTTGATAAACTTATTTAGGATTCTTGAGGAACATGTCAGAATAACTTCTTTTGTCCTCAGTGAATAGAATGTCTATCATATCTCAAAATCACCTGGAGGTTTTGCTAAATAAAAGCATTAAAAAGAACTTTGTGCACAGAATTGTTTTAATGTTGTCAACGTCAACTTATTGTGAAATCTAGAATAATAAATTATTTTTTTTATTTGTAGAAGGAGCACTCAGCTCAGCAATTGTTTCCCCCCCACACGGGTTAATTGTTTTCATTAATATATTGAAAAGAGCAACTGACAAAGGACATCAAAGGTGGGTCCAGCACAAAGAAGAGGAGAGAAACTCAAGAAAGCCTGGGAGATCAGAACCAGTCTATCATTAGCTAGTAACATTAACAGTGCATGTAGTGTGTGTGTGTGTGTGTGTGTGTGTGTGTGTATGTGTGTATGTGTTTGTGTGTGTGTGTGTGTGTGTGTGTGTGTGTACACATGCCAGATTCAACTCCAGGGCCTCACATGTGCTAAGCATGTACTCTACCACTGAGCTATACAGCCGGCCTAATGTAACTTTTCATTCCCAGATTTTTCGTAGAAAATAATAACATTTCACTCGTGGTAAGGAAATGCCAAGCAGCAATGCATTTGTTTAGAGAAAAAAGTCTATATCCTTTCTTTTGTCCATTTGGTTTGACCTAAAAAAAGATGAAAAAAATGTGGTTGGGTCCTTGGAAATGAGAAGGAATTCATGAAAGGAGAGACTTAAAAGTGAGTTAAAACTCCCCTCACACTGTTCCACATAGAGGCGGTTAGACCAGAAGTTAAAATTGAAATTATCTTTAAAGAGTACAGTTCCTTTATTTTACAGAGGAGCGAACAGAGTTGGAGACATTGGCTGGCATTATCATGTAGCAAAGTGTTGTGACTGAGGTCAGAGGGAAAGAGCACACCAGATACACAGGTCAGGATGCTGACTGTAGTGTTGGAGCATGGGAGACCTAGTGTGAGAGATCAGTCAGTATCCTTAGTGGGCAAGATTTGATGGAAGGATTAATGAAAACTGGGGTAAGTGGAAGGAAAGCAAAGCAAGGTGACATTTCTAAAAAGGGGAGACAGCAGGTGTTTTCTGGAGAAATTGAGACATGGTGAACTCTAGACACAGACAGGGAGAGTCAGGCTTTTCCATGAGAGAAAGCTGAGCATACAGCAACTTCTCTAAGGGATGAGATCATATTTAGAAGAGGAGTCAGCTATGTGCAATGTTTTGCTCAAACTGTGGGAACAGCATACACCTGCTTATTATCCACTGGAAAAGAGAGAAAATCTGAGACGGCAGAGTTGATAATAAGCGGGGAAATTGAAGAAGTTACTTCTGCATAAGGATAATGAGAGAGAGAGAGAGAGAGAGAGAGAGAGAGAGAGAGAGGAGGAGGAGGAGGAACTGCATGAATGGCTCTGTTCTTTTCTTCCCTAAACTATTCTATAAATCTTCCCCAGTTCAGTTCATGGAAATGAACTCCCACTTGTCCCAGTTCTCTCTAGGTCTGCCTTCTCTTGCTATCACAGGAAACCTGAGGCTATAATTGAATAATGAAAAACAAAGGCTTATTTTGTCCCATGGTTCTGGAGGCTGGGACATCTTAAAGTATGGCTTGGCGCTAAGATCTATGTGGCTTCTGATGAGGGTCTTGTGATGTTTCAACTGACAGGACACAGGACAAGTGGCTGCATGTGAGACTGAAATGGAGCCATGTTGGCTAACACATTTCTACAACAGAGACATTAATCTAACCATGAGGATTCTGACATCAAGAACCAAACACTTTCTAGATCCCACCTCCCAACACTGGGACATCATGGGATGAAGGTTCCAAGGCATGATCTTCTGAGGGACACACTCAGCAGTAGGTTTTAAACTAGAGAGTCATGATTGACACCTCTTCCTTCCAAATATCACATTTGATCCACCAGGAAGACACCAAGCTCTGCTCTCTGTGCTTTGACTCCTTTACAAAATAACCACTCAGAGCCAGTGTGGACAGAACACTGGAATTCAGCAATAGACTTCTATCTGCAGTTTCCCTTTTTGTCCTTCTCCTCTCCCAGATCACACTCCTATCAAATCTACCCCACAGAGTTCCCAATGTGATGTTGTGACCACCTAAGACTGTGTTACTCCTGTGCTCAAGGCTCCAGTGGCTTGCCATGTCACTGCATGCAAAGTCCCCACATGCAGTCTGCTCCTCTCAAATTCTCCTGACCTCATCTACTGCCTTCCAAGTCCTTCACTCTGCTCCGGTCACACTGATTTCTTGCTATTCTTTGAATAGTCGAGGAAGATTTCAACCCTTAAAGTTGATGTTATCTCTACTATGCTGTTGTTAGGCTGTGTTTGTCTCTCAAAGTTTCATGCGTTGGAGGCACAGTGTCCAGTGGGGCAATGTGGAGAGGAGTGGGACCTTTCCAAGGTTCATTTGAGTCAGTGCCTTCAGGAAAGGATTAATGGAATTCTCTTGAGGCTGGTTGGTTTTCATGAGTGTGTTGTAAAGCAAGGCTACCAGTGCATTGGCCTCCTTTGCACATGACCATTTCCCTTATCTCTGTTCCACTAGGATGAGATGCAGTCAAGATAATCTTCTCCAGAGGCTGAACCCATTGGTTTCTCTGATCTGGGACTTTCAGCTTCTAACACTGTGAGATAAGTAAGTCTTATTTATAAAGTACCCAGCCTCTGAAGTTTTGTCATAGCAACCAAAAATGGACCAGTATAACAAGGAATGCATTGTCCAGGCATGTGCATAACTTACTTCTAGCCTTCCCTCAATGATGTCTCATGGGACCACCGATTCTGCTCTGCCTCTCCCTGTCCACAGCCATTGTTTTGTTTCTCTTCATAGAACTTATGATGGGCCAAAATGTTACATAATTTGCCTACTCACTGTGTTGTCTGCTTCCTCTTACTACATTGTAAACTTCATAGAATCATCCATTTTTATCTTCTCTATGTGGTGAGGGTACCTAGAGTGTCCTGGAATATAGTTCAACTAGAGAAGGATGCATACCATGTTACAGGTAGTGCTCTCTAAATGTGCTACAAAAATGCACACATATACATACACACTTATCTTCTCAGCAAGCCTATATTATCCTAATTTTACACATAAGAAAACTAGAGGTATACAATGAATGTGAACTTGTTCTAACACAAGTAAGTCAGTTTCACTCCTGGTTTGATGGACTAAGCTGACAATTAATCCTTTGATATGAACTTCAGGCATATGACATTTGTTAGTAGCACAGACTTGGTGGCTTAAAGAACAGCAATGTATTTATTCTCTCGTGGTTTTAGAAGTTCAAGAACAAAGTGTAGGCAGGATTTTTTCCTTCTAAGGACTGAGAAACCTTGTTCCATACCCCTTAACCTTCAGCATTTCTTAATTTGTGAGCGCATCATCCTGTTCTCAGTCCTCATCTTCACTCAATATATGACATGTAAGGGCATCTGTGTTCAAATTTCCTGGTGTGTGTGAGTGTGTGTGTGTGTGTGTGTGTGTGTGTGTGTGCCAGTATGATTGTACATGCAGGTATACCTGTGTGGGTGTGCATATGTAGAGATCAGAGAATAACCTCAGGTACTTTCCTCAGGTGCCTGCTGCTGCTATTTTTTTTTTTTTAATTGAGACCAGGTCTCCCACTGACTTGAGCTTACCTAGTAGCCTAGACTGACTGGCCAGCAGGCCCCAGAGACTCATCTATCTCTGTCTCCCCAGTGCTGGGATTAGAAGAGCATGCCATCATGTTTGGATTTCCCCCATATGTTCTGGAGATGGAACTCATGTCCTTGTGCTTACAAGGTGAGCATGTTATTGACTGAGCTACCTCCTGGCCCTCATATTTCCTGTTTTAATGGGGTACCAGTTACATTGGAGTAGGGCTCTTCTCCATGATGACCTTGTCTTATCCATTTGCATTTTCAGTGACCTTATTTTCTAATAAGATCACAGTCTGAAGTAATGAACATTGTTACTTAAACATGAATTTTGAGGGGGATATGATTCAACCCTAAAGACAAGAAGAAGAAAAAAACAGGCAAATTGTGAGTAGATACTCAAAAGAGGGGTTGATAATGGGCTGATTTTCCTGTTTTCACAGATTTGTTATATAAATGAATGTTACATATAGAAGAGTCAAAGTGAGATGAAAAATTGGAGCCATTGAAATGCCAGACAGGATGAATTCTTGTAGCTGCGTCAAGTAATACCAATATCATTAAAGCCAATACTTGAAAGTCAAGGTTGCCATCACCAAAATCCAAGAAGCAATGTCTTAAACATAAGACATGAAACCACAAGTCTCAGAAAACATAGAGGAAAGTTCCTCAACCCTGCTCTCAGCTGAGAGGTTTTGAAATTGATACTAAAAGAACAGACAACAAAAGCAAAAATAAACAGAAAGGGCTACATCAAACTGATGTTTCTGCATAGCTTAAGAAAACGACAAAATGAGAAGGCGGCCTACAGAACAAATAAAAATATTTGTGAGTTATATATATAATATATAGCTTATCTATCATCTATCTAGACCTATATCTATGTACATGTGTGTAAGGAACTCAACACAGAAGCACAAAGACAACACAAATTGAAAAGATCTGAAAGACGAAGCATGTACCTAGCTAACAGGTGTGGGGAAAGATGCTCCATGCGATTCATCATCACAGAAATGCAAATTAAAGTCCTAAAGACTCAGGTTCTCACACCCCTTAGGAAGGCTATTGGCAAGAAGACACGTGGCTACTATTATATTTTGACTTGTTTATATTCATTTAGTTTTAATTTTAAAAAGCCTTATTGCTTTTTCTGTTTCTTTTCTTGCTTTTATGTTTTATAATTTTGCTTCCACTTCCTTTGTAGAATTCCCAACAGGGACAGGTGTCCCATGGCCTTCGTGTTTCCAGCCTGTTAGCATCATTACAGTTATATTTATGAATCATTTTACATTTTTATTTCCTCTTGTGTTCATAGTTTAACATAAAAAAAAATGTTGTTTGGGACCATTTGTGATGGCATGCACCTTTAATCCCAGCACTCGGGAAACAGAGGCAGGCAGATTACTGTGAGATCAAGGCCAGCCTGGTCTACATGGTGAGTTCCAGGCCAACTAGGGCAACAGGGAGACACTATTTCAAAAGAAAATGTTAGGAGGGCAAAGAAAGTATTGATAGGAACCTCTGTCCTTTCCTTCTTCTCTCCCCCCCTTCCTTATTTTTTCCCTCTCTCCTCTTCCTCCTGTTTTGTTTTGTTTTGTTTTATTTTTTAATTTTTATTATTATTATTGTGGTCTTTTTGAGACAGGGTCTTCTTGTAGCCCCAGCTGTCCTGGAACTCACTATGTAGACCAGGCTGGCCTTGAACTCACAGAGATCTGCCTGCAATTAAAGGCCTGCACCACCAGGCCTGGCTAATTAATGCAGGGATAAGTTTTGTTTTGTTTTGTTTTGTTTTGTTTTGTTTCTGCATGTATGTAAGTGCACCACATGTGTCCAATGTCTCCATAGGCCAGAAGAGGGTGTCGGGACCCCTGGAACTAGAGTTGGTTATAAGTGACCACATAGGTGTTGGTAATTACACCTGAGTCC